TCACACACAACAAATTGGCAATGGTTGGGCTGGAGAGGTGCCCCTCAGCAGGGGTGGGGATGCCACAGCTAAACGAACTCACCTGGGCTCCTATTCCAGAGGTCTAGCTGAGCAACAGGCCCTTCATCCTGCTCTCTCCTCTTGAATTGGCAGTTCTTATCCCCACTGTACAGATGAGGAAACGGAGGCTCTGAGATGGGCCATCAGGGCTGTGCTGCCCTGGGGGAGTTCCCAGGATGCATACGGATCTTGGGGCCGCCTGGCTCTCCCTGGGTGCCTAGCATGTGGCTGCACAGTGAGGGTGAAGCAAGCTTCCCTCAGGGGAGGTGAGTGGGGGCTCAGAGTCCCATAGGCCCACGCATGCCCCAGCTAAGCTATATCCTTCCGCGTGGCACAGTGGCTGGCTTTCACTGTGGACGTGGCGTCAGACAAGCTGGGACCCTCTGTTCACACCATGGGTCTCGATTCCCATGGGGCCCAAGTCCTGCTGGTCTGCAGATGTGTCCTTCTCACACCCTCTCCAGCCCTCCTGACCCACCCTCAATGACTGTCCCAGCCTCCTCCCTGTCCCTTGGCCTGCGCGCTTACCTTTCAGGCTGCTCTCCACTCAGCAACTAGATCTTCATTGTGACAGCCAGACCTCATCAGCCCTGTTCATGATGCCCTCTAGGGGCTCCCCTGTCCCCTAAAGATGTTCCTCCCTGGCCCATGATGCCCTGTGGAAGGGCACTGCAGCTTCTCCTCTGCCTGCAGCCCTGAGGCCAGAGGAGGAGGTGAAGGCACAGAGGGAGGCGTGTGGAGATCCCACACATGCACGGAAGCTACATGGCAGACAATGGCCCCTGGAGGTGTGCAATAGGATGGCTCTGGGAAGGGGGCTGGCTGCCTGGGCAAAGAGGGGTTCTAGCAAGGGTCAGAGTCTGCGTCATGGCCACCTGTGGGGGCTCATCTGCCCCAGCCAGAGACAATGGGGCCAAGGCCTCTAAGAGTTGCTAATGACAGTCTTTAATGACCATGCCTGGAAAGGGATGACTTCACCCAGGACGCACCCTAATGAGAGGAGGCTACAGTCACAGGCAGGCGGCTCCTCCATTGCTATGAGACCTGCATGGGCTTGTCTAGTCAGAGGATGGCAACACTGTGTGTGTGTGTGTGTGTGTGTGTCTGTGTGTGTGTGTGTGTGTGTGTGTGTGTGTGTGTGTGTGTGTCTGGTCCCTCACAGAGCCAGGGCCTAGTGAAAAGCCTCAGGGCAGCAGGGTGGGGGGCCCAGCTTCTACCTTGCCTCACTCTATGACACCCCACCCCTCTGCAAACCTCACCTTCCCCATCAGCACAGGACTGGGGAGCAGAGTGATTACGAGCCTTCCTGGGGCTCTCAGATGGGCTGGGTCTCAGGAGTCAGGTGAGAGCACTGTGTCCCGGTGGGGCCCAGAACAAGCAGGGGAAAAGATGTCAAGGATCAGGACCTGGACACCCTCCTTCGGGGCACCCACAGGTTAACATGCTAATGTGCTCCCTCCAGAGAAAGCTGGCTCCCACATCAGGCCCTCTGGCTTCTGCCAAGGATCTGGGAGTAGGTGTTGGTGTCCCAGACATATCCATTTTGACACAGAGGGAGGTACAGTGCAGTCATGGTGTTGACCCAGGTGCGCAGTACATGGGCAGTAGTACATGGGCAGTAGCAGGGACGGACAGGCTCCAGTGCAGGCTTGCCACCCACCCCAACCCTCGTCCATTCACGAGGCATGACTGCCCTCTGGGGAGGGGCCCCGTGGGGGCGGCAGGCAGAGCACGGCCGTCTCCTGAGGGTTCCCTCTGCCCCCAGGCTCAGAGCGGGACCACCCTAGGGAAATGTTCATCTCTCCTGTGGTCTCCTTGTCGGAACCCCTTCAAGGTCACCGCTCCACAGCGCTCCAAGTGCTTCCTCGTATCCAGCCTTAGTCAGTCCTCATGTTGCACTTGATTCATTAATCAGAGGACAAGTTGAGGGCCCCATTATCCTGCCACCCAGCGTGACATCACCGAGCTTCCCTCGGGCATGTTCCCTCCCTGGGACTGCCCAGCCGGCACAGGAAATGGCTGCTGGATGAATGTTCAAGTGAGTAAGTGTCTTGGATCCTCCTCCCATGTGAACACTAAGCGGCCAAGGAGTGGACCAGGTCCCCGGGGCCCAGGCTGAAAGGAGGCAGAAACAGGGACCAAGGAGGCAAAGAATCTCAGGAAAGCAACAGGACTGGGGACAGAGATAAAGCAGGTGCACCCCCAGGGAGCCAAGCGTCCAGGAGCTCAGGGTGGCTGCACTGAGGGCCTCAGGCACGGATGGCCTGGAGCAAGCAGGGCCTGCAGAGGAGAGTATGGTAGAAATGGGGTGGGATAGGAGGAGCTCAGGACGCAGGGCCATGAGATGGGAGACCGAAACCTGGGGGTGGGGGACCGCAGTCCAGTAAGTGTGGCCCAGCCCAAGGTCACAGAGCAAGGACCCAGAGCCTCGGCCACTCAGCCATGACCTGGCCATCTGTTCCCCCGCAGGGAACCTTAGCCAGGCCCAGTGCTGAGGTAGGAATTTCTACAGGTAAAGAGGACACAGACGGTCAGAGAGACCTCTGGCCCCAGAGTGCACAGGGGTAAGTGGCGGGGCTGGCCCTCTTCAGGCACTCCCAGTCCTCAGTCTGAAGAGCCGGCTCAGGAGGTGGCTACTGCTCCCACCCCCACCCCGTCCTGTGCTTGGGCACGCTGGCACTACCAGGCACTTACTCGGTTTGTCGAGGGCCCAGCCCCCAGCCCAGCACCCGCGGGCTTCCCCAGGCCTGGGCAAGGGCAGCAAGAGGGAACAAAGGCCCAGTCTCTGCCTGCTCAGGCCCCCACCCCCTTGCCTGCCCCTGGCACAGAAGGAACAGGGCCCTGAGGGAGCCCAGGAGCAACAGCAGCACCGCCCCTTTGTCAAGGATGCAGCGAGAAGCCCCCTCCCACCCACACAGGCCTGCTGGCTGAGCGGCAGGGTTCTTCCCCCATCCAGATGGGAGTGTTCGGGGGCAGAGCTGAGGGACTGCAGTCGCACAGCTGGAATTTGCACCCAGGCCCCACAGCAGGCAGAACCTGCCCTCTACCCCTCACCACAGGCTGTGCATGATGGTTGTGACTGTGTTCTGGTACAGAGGAACTGAAGAGCAGAGATGAGGGAGAGAAGAGAAGGAGAGCCTGGGCACCCCGACAGGGCAAGCCCCAGGCTGAGCCGCCCTCACCCTCTCGGCCCTACCCACCTACCTTCCACCTGGGTCCAGCTCAGTGCTGATCACGCGGTTTGCTGAAGGGATAGAGCCAGGGAATGTCAGAAGTGGGGAAACTAAGTCAGCTTCCAGGCCTCTTAAGTCCTTGACAGGGGCTCACCTGATCCAGCCAGAGGCAAGGGAGACCTAAGCCACTCTGGAGCCTCCATTTCCTGATCTGTAACTCGGGGCTTGTTGCCCACTGGGGGCCTCACTTCCCCAGACTGTGGCCCCCATCCTTCTCCAGACCTCCTCCCTGCTCTAGCCCAGGGCCTTGCTTAGACCCTACCCCCAGGGGAGCCTGGACGGAGGCCGATGCCCACCCTCCCCTGTACACACCTGATTCCTCCCTGTGAACCCAGGCCAACAATGTGCTCGTCATGCCACAAAGCTGAACAGCACTCAGGAACCAGGTGCAATCGGCCCTAAGGGACCTGTCCAAGGCCACCCAGCCCTTAAGAAGCAAAGAAGGGCTGACCTGCTCACTGCCCACTGACATCCCAGGACCTGCAGGGGCAGGGTTAAATGCACATTCTCCTCTCTCATCCACACAGCAGCAAGAGAAAAGGTTAGGGTTCTAGGGGCTGCAACCTGGGTAATGCCTAAGCAGATAGCCTTGGACAATGAAGGGCGAGTCAGGGGCTCAGTTGTGTGAATTTGGTCCATACAACCTCTCCAAGCCTTGATTTCAGCAGAAGCCCACAGAGAAAGCCCTGATGCCGCTGCCTGCCAGTGCCTAAGGGCTGGGGAAATCCCACCAGCCCCAGCTTCATCCAGAAACTTTGGCTGCTCCCTCCCATCTGCAGGGCACCTTGATTAGTCTAAGCAAGTGCCCAGCAGACCCCAAGCAGAACCAGGCCAATGCATCACAGAGCAGGCACTAGGACACCGGTCGAGACTCCTTCACCTCCTTCCCAGGCCCCAAGCCCTTATCAGACACGACTCATTTTAAAGAAAAAATAATATTTATTTGCAATATAAACAAAGTCCCGTTGTTGGTTCGGGATATATATATGTATGTGTGTGTATATATATATGTAGGGTCACAAATCTTCCTTCATAAGATCATAAAGCAAAACTGGCCACCTTCTGGCATACCCTCATTTATACAAATCTGGTGCATCTTTCTGGGTTTTCTTTTTAAAAATAAAAGAGAGAAAAGGAGAACCATGTACAGCATGGAAGCTTGTTGTCAATTTCTCGACTGTGGCAAGATTTTAATCTGCTGCCTTAAGAATCCCTGAAAACCACCCCTGTGAGGTAAGAAGCAGTGGGGCAGAGTTTTCTGTGGCCTCACTCACATGCTGAGTGCTGCTCCGTCAGGGACCCTGGCCCGACCCCTCTCCCTGCCCTAGGCCCTCATGCAGTCCTGACACCTGGTGAAACTGAGGCTGGAGAAGGAACAAAACTGGAGGAAGATAACGGAATCCGTGGCTTTGTTCTGTGGAGGCAGAGGGAAGTGAACAGAGCCTCACCCCCCTTCTGCTGGTCCACCCTTGCCCCACTTGCCCCTGCCCTAGGGTTGAAATGGGTGCAAGTCTCCTGGCAGTAGAAGGCATGGGCAAGATGAGGGCAGGGCAAGCTTCCAAGGGGACAAGGGGGCTGCCAGTGGCAGCCAGACCAAAGCGACAGCTAGGGAGAGGGAAGAACCTGGAGGTAGGGCTGGGTCTCACCACCTAAGCTCTCCCCAGCCACTGGGCCTCCACTCCCAGTTACAACAAGAGAGAGGAGAGGGAGAGGGAGAGAGAGAAACAGACAGACAGAAGTAGTGGCTAAGTATATAAAAGGGCTCAGAGCCCAGGCCCTCCTAGGGGCTGAGCCCAGAGGGCTAATGCTACTGCCTGGCAGCCCCCTGCGGCCCACCTTCTGCGGGACAGCGGCAGGGACCCGGGTTCCCCACCTTCTGCCTCAGGGAGGTCTGCAGGGACCACCAGAGGGATGGATGAGAGGGCAGAAAATGCAAAGACCACCATCCAGCCCACCAATCACAACTTGCAGCAGTCATCACAGGCGAATGCAGGGCCAAGTCAGACTGGGCCAAGGGTGGGAGGCGGCACGACTGGGGGTCCCAATACCTGAAGAGCAGTAAGCCACCCCTTCAAGAAGGGCCCGTCGAGGAAATGGAGGCTTCACACATGTGCAAAACGCATTTGGTCAAGGTCAACATGGGGTCTGTCTTTTCCATTAAAAAACAAAAACAAACACAATACTTGCTTTTTGAAATTGAACGAAAAACAAAACTGATAACATTTCTCTCTCTCGCAGGATCAGAAAAGGGATGAAATACTGGGTTATACAATCCACTGTTGCATGTAGCCTGAAAATAACACTTTTTGTTAAAAAAAAAAAAAAAAAAAAAAAATCAAGAAGAGCTCAAACACTCTTTGTGCTCCAGGGAGCTTGGATTTACCTGCCAAAAGTAAAAAGTAAACTCAGGTCCGTGGATGTGTCTTTAAAAAATAGCCAAACTGGCTGGGCCATCAGCAGAAAGGAGCATCCTGGACAGGATGAGGCCCTGGTGGACGCCCAAAGCCACGTGTCCGAGAGCCGAGGCCTCTCCAGCAAGCCCTGCAGACGGAGACCTTGCCTGCGGGCCCCGCCCCCAAGATGGTGAGGGGCGCTCCGACACCGAGCAGCCTGGGTCTCTGGGCACAGGCGACATCTGGGGGTTCCTCAGGCCAGAGGTGGCAGGCTTGGGCTCTCCCACCTAGCCTTGTGGAGAGCCGAGCAGGGGCCTGGTGCCATGCCCCCCGTGCACCAGGCCTCACGTGGACTCCAGCGTATTGAGTGGGAACAGGTTGTGGTTGGTGGGTGTGGAAAAGTAGAGCTGCTCACTCGGCGCATGGTTGTCGCACGGGCTGCTTAGCCCCAGCGTCCGCTCAAAGTCCAGCAGCTGCCCCATGAAGTTGAAGTTGGGCGAGATGTTGGACTTTTTTCTCTTGACAAAGTCGTAGGCGTCGTTGAGTGACAGGTTCATCTTCTGCATCAGATAGGCCACAGTGACCGTCACTGAGCGGCTGATGCCTGCCAGGCAGTGCACCAGGACACCACACTTCTTGGAGCGGGCTTCATCTGAAACACATCGACATCGGTCAGGGAGGTGCCTCCTTCAGGGAGCCTTCCCACATGGGTGGCCAAGTTGGGCTGGGACACAAAGGGCAGCATGGCCGCTGGCTGGTCTTGCCCGACCCCTGAGGAACCTGGCCAAGCCCAGTGTGGGTAGGGCAGCAACTTGGAATAGAGGTCAACAGCACTGCTGTGGAGAGGGCTCTGCACACTTTAGCCCCAAGGCACTGGACACCCGTGTCTCAATTTCCTCATCTATAAAATGGGCCTATTTATGTACAGTGGTCTCATAAAGACCTGTGAGGGATCAAGAAGCGTGAACTACTGTAACGCCTGTGACCATGGCTAGTTATACCACTGCCATGTGCATTGCGACTGCTGTCACGGGCATCACCTGCATCCTCTTGGGTCATCTGCACCATGGCCAGTAAGCCCATTTTATCAATGAGGAAGCAGACACAGAGACAAACTGGCAAGCCCAAGGCCACACAGAGGCTCCTCCTAGCTCAGTACCCGCTGCTGCCAGGCCGTGACCTGGGACTGGGGGCTGGGCTGGTTCTCTTGGAGCTGCTCCCATGGGTTGTCCCCGAGAGTCTCCCAGGAAAGTGGCCTGAGGGAGGCTCCGCCGGAAGGAAGTAAGTGGCCTGGCCCTGCACTTCGCTCTGCCCAGCTAGTCCCCAAGGCCTTAACTCCAGCTCCTATGACACAAGGACTGCGATGCTGGCCACACTATCACTTGTGATAGGGCTTCATAAGTGAGGCGTGCTTAAATGGGCCCCACCCCTGCCACTTGCTAGACCTTCCAAAGAGGCCCATGTGCCAGTGATATCTCCTACCCCAGCCGACTGGATGCGGCCAACCTTCCTGTCCCCTTTCCCCTCTAACCCTCCCAGCTTCCCCCAGTGCCACCCTCAGACTCCTCTGCCTGACACATAGAAGTTCAATAAATACTGGCTGAGCTACTGAACAACTCAGTCCTGTAATCTCTCCTGGACCCTGGGGCAGCTGCCTCTCTGTGTGCCACAGCTGTGCCAGGGACATAGATTCACAAGAGGCAGCCATGGGGTCCTTGATGTCCCCACCACCCTGACTCTGAACCCTCCGGGAGCCAGGCACACAGCTAGCACTCAATCAATGCCTTCCTACAAGATGACACATGGGTTCACCCACTGTTCTTCATTGCCTTTGTCCTGACAGAGCTTCCTCTCTCGTCCCCGCCCAACCAAGGGTACCAAGGATTAAGCATACAGTAGGTGCTTCCTCCAGACTCAGGGACTGACAGGGGGCCCCATGGCTAAGGCACTGGGGCAGGATCATCTGTCGAGGAGACAGACATTGTGGCTTCATGTGGAGCTATGTGGTCTGACCTCGAGATTAGGGTGGGAGAAGTGTGTGCTGGGATGAGCCTCCAGTGGTGACACCAGGATGTGAGGAACGCCTGGCCCCCAAACCCACCTCCAGGTGATCCAAAGAAAGTCTGCTTCTGCTGGCTTTATTTTTGGCCTTTTCAGGGTGTAGCTGGTGACTGATCCTGTCCCACTGACTCCTAAGGGATGCCTGGGCCTCAATTCCTTCACTTGTCAAATGAGGAAAAAGGTCCCCCTACCCAGATGGGGAGGAACTTTCAGGAACGATAAAGGTACCCATTAGCCAGGCCCAGCCTGGCAAAGCCTGCTTTCCTCTCTCTTTCCCCCTCCCTTGTTGGGGGAGTTCAAATGCTGAGGCAGCACCCATAGCCCTCTTGGCCCCCAGGGTCGGGGGCAGGGCTGAGAAGCTCCAGGCAGCCCCAGTTGCAGCCCCTCCCCCAGGCCTCAGCTTCCTTCCTTCCTCCCAGCCAGGCACCTACTTTTGGTTCCCAGTAAGCGGATGAGGCGGGGAAGCCTCCCACTTCCTGTTGTTAAAGCTAGCCCAACCCAGCCGACACCAAAACGCCCTCCACTGGACACAGCCGCCATAGGGAAAAGACAGCCCAGGCCACCCCCACACCTTGCCACTGGAGGCTGGGCAGAAACATTGGGTCACCAGGCTCAGAGATAGAGCGTTTATATTCATCCTGAGCCCCCGTGCCCCTTCCTTGCACCCTGGGCCAGGGGAGATGACCTGTGGTCTCACAGCCTCCAGGTGGCCAAAGAGTAAAGCCAGCAGGGGACCCGAGTCTGCTGAGGCTGGGGATACAGGGACTCAAAGGGCACTAAGCCAGACGGCAGGACACACTGCTCTGGGGAAGGCCTTTCTCCACTCCCCCACCTTCTCTTACACTCCTCCCTACACTCCAAGCGAGCCCTACAGGCTGCAGAGAGCATCTGGAGCCTGACCGAGCTAGCGGTCACCACATTTCAATAGCTGCCTGTTTGGGGTGTGCCTCTGGCTCCAGGGAGGGCTACCTTTCAGCCCTCTTAAGTACACATTAAAGCCCAAAGAGGCAATATGACAACCCCATCCTGGAGAGACACGTGTGCTGAGGCGTGATGTGGAGCAAGTGAGACCCGTGGGAGGTCTGCGCGCTGTGATGTTTCAGCTTGCTAAGCCCGAAACAACATCTAAGCCAGGAAAACACGAGCTGGACAGCAGAGAGCCCATGAGGTGCTGCCAGCTAGAGGGAGCTCAGAGCTCAGGAGACTGCTCAGGCCCCAACAGGTATAGGGGCCCAAGGGACTCGGTGACTCACAGTAGGCATGGGTACACCCAGGGGCACAGGCTGGCACATGCAGGGCACACACAGGTCTCAACAGGCCCAGAGGTACCCAGTCAGGTGGGGGCGCCACCCAGAGTCCTGCATACACCTTGACGCGCCCACCCCCCCTGCCCAGCACACAGAACCTACCAATGAAGCTGATGGCCTCAGGGAAGAACTGGGAGAGGTTCTGGCTCCAGTGGTCAGAGATGGGGATCTGCTTGTAGGTGAACTCGCCGCCGTGCTCAAAGGCATTGGGTAGGTTGGGTGTGACGTTGAGGATATACTTGATGCCGTACTTGCCGAGCACGTCCAGGTTGGTGGAGTCCTTGGCGCAGCCGAGGTAGAGGTAGGGCAGGATCTGGACAGGGAAGGCTGGTTGGCTGGATGGCACAGGGCTGCCATCCGACTCGGTGGCACTGCTGGGCAGCTCTCGGTCCGACTCGCCGTCGGAGCAGTCAGAGCTGATGCGCAGGCCCCCCAGGCCCAGCACTGAGGTGGGTGGCGAGCTGCTCGGTGAGGAAGAGCTGTCCACGTTGGTCTCGCAGTGCTCAGAGTACTCTGTCTGAAACTTGTTGAAACCACCTGTGTCCGGAGTGAGACAGGGCCTGGGTGAGACACTGGTGAGAGCCCAGATGGGCTGCACAACCCAGATGGGCTGACCAAAGATGGCCAGGACTCCCCACGCCAAACACCACAACACCAACGGCCAGCATGGGCCATACCAAGCATCTTACACGTGTGCCCTCTCTTGTGTTCTCTCCATCTAAACCATGACCACTTCACAGACAAGGAAACTGAGGCCCCAGGAGGTGAAGTGACATGCCTAGACTCCAAACTGGTACCCATAACACTTCAGGGCCCCCAGCCATGCCACCAGCTTTAGGGCACTTGAGGACAGGCCCCAGCTAATTCCTCTTCTGCAGCTCCCACGCACGCCTAGCATCCATGGGTGTTCAGTAACAGCTAAGTGGTAAAGAAAAGCAGACAACCCCATTTAGCCAGCACCTCTGGGTTGGCAAACTCCTCTTATAGATGAGACCACAGGTGCCAGAGCCACATCTGGCTCAGATAAGAGGCAGAGAGGTCCTGGGCTTCCTGAATGGGAGTCTAGTGGTTGCCCAGCCCCAAAACTACAGCTGGGGAGGGTAGTGGGAAGGTACTGGCTGGCCCCTTCCCCCAGCAGGGGCAGGTTTTTGAAGGGGGTCCTGGCTCCACTTCTCTAGAATCCTCCCTTAGAACACGAGCCTCCCCAGCTTTGGACCTGCAGCGGGGGAGGGCCACTGGGGCAATACAGGGACAGGAGAAATGGGGAGCCCCTTGCAGTGAGGCATGGGCCCTGCGCCCGAGGGTGCCGCAGGCCTCCCCTCCCCTCCCGCCCGCCCCGCTGCCAGCAAGAGGCCATTTTGGAATGTTAATTGGAAACACCGGCCTCAGCCACTCGCCCCCCGGTGCTGCCTCTCCCTTCTGCAAGCTCTGCGGCATCAGGCTAGGGACCTGGGGGTCCCGAGAGACCCGGGCCAGGGCAACGGTCCCTGCCCATACCCTGCCCCAAGCGCCTCCTAGAGGCGGCAATTCTCCGGTGGAAGGAGCAATTCCCGGATCCAGGAGACCCCAACCCAAATGGTCTCCATGCGCTGGAGATGAGGATGGTGCTATGAAAGGTGCCTTCCTGATCCTGGCCTTCCAGAAACACGAATTCCAGGCTGGACTCGGGCGCCCTGCTGCTTTTAGAGTTCTGGAAGGCAGCGCCTTCCACCTCTAAGGGGCTCCACCGGAGCCTAGGCACTACTGTCGCCCCATCAACAGGAAACCCCAGGCAGGGGAAAGTTTGTTCCACCCACTCGAATCGTGCCGAGAAAGGGGGCGCAGAGGGAGCCCCGCGCCTGCCAAACCACACGGTGGGGACCCGACTCCAGGAGGGCGGATGCAGGCCGGGGACGACGTGGCGCCCAGCGGGGCAGGCCGAGCGCGTGGAGAGGAAAGCGCCTCCAAGGGGGGCGTCAGGGAGTCGCGGGGGGCCCCGATTCCGCAAGGCGTCTCGGTGCTGCCCTCACCTTGGAGGTAGTAGGCCTGGCAGCCGTCGTCGCGCAGCTTCTGTAGGAGCAGGCCGAGCACGGAGGCGGGAGCGCCAGGCTCGGGCTGCCACTCGGCCGTGGCCTCGTCATAGAGCAGCACAGTGGCCGCCTTGCAGCGCGTGGCGAAGCGCTCCTTGTCGGCATGGTTGGGGATGATGGAGCGGATGGGCAGGTTGCCCTTGCGCAGGCGGCGCAACATGAGGCCCGGGATGGCCAGGTTGATGGCCGTCTCGATGTGCGACGACTCGAAGAGCTCGTGCGGCCGGCAGTCGAGCAGCAGCAGGGACGCGCCGCCGCGC